GAAGGGAGGGCTAGGAATGGGGAAAAAATAAAAACCAAGATGCATTATGCAAAGGTACAATTCTCAATCAGAAATGTAATTGTGTTGTATACCTACAATGTACCAATAAAAGAATTTAATAAAAAGGTATTACAGTAAATAAGTTATTATATATAATGTATATATATTATGAATGAATGAATACTGTTAGAAATGTAGATCTTTATTGACCAAAAAGAAAGTATATTGTTGAGTGAATAGGGTTCAAATGCATGGATAGTGTCCCATGTGTGTGTTAAAATACATGTGTGCATATAATGTTTTCTGTGTATATGCAGAGAAATGTCTAGGAGGATCTTGCCTAAAGTATTAACAGGAATTTTCTCTGAGTGGAGGATATGAGGTAATTTTTTTTTTTTTGGTACCAGGGACCGAACTCAGACCAAACTTGGGACCTCCTGCTTGCAAGGCCAGCAGGGAGCGGCACCACTGAGCTAAAACCCCAGCCCATGAGGTGATTTTTTTTACTTCTCTTTTTACTGTTACAGGTGACGTATGGGGGAGCTATTATATTTATAATCCAAAGAAAAGACAAATCATTTATGGTTTTACATTTCTCAAGAGTGCTAGCATTGTGCTCTGGAAAGAATACAGCCTTTGAGGTCAGACCAGGATCCACTTACTGACATATAAAATTGGGTACTTACCCAGTGCTACCTTCCTTATATTACTGTGAGGGTGCTAAGTGCCCTGGCAAAGGGTTTATCACAGTGCCATGATCACATTAGTGGTCTAATAAATGTTCTACCCCCATATTTGTACTTAATTCTCTTCTGCCCCCTTATTTCATTCCCTGAGGTATAAAAGGACTTCAATTCCAGTGCTGAAAAATCTGAGGTGCCCCCAAAGACTCTCCCAAGATAGTCTGGCTCATGGTGGCCTTGGTGACAGTGGCTGAGGTCCAACAAAGCTGAAAGGGAATCTGATTTTCCCACTCTCTTCCATCGTAAGGTTAAAGTTATAATATATGATACTGGAAAATATTTTGCCTCCTGGATCTAATAAAATCATTTAAATAACTAGAACTTGGGATTCGAATGCAATTTTACTAAACTTGAATGTGTTTAAGGTCATCTAAATCAGTGCTTCTCAAATCTACTCAGATCCAGCATCACCTTTTTCATAACATCCACATGACCATCTTGAAGTTCAGATGATATACTTTACACACATTTATTTAGTGTGTGATTGTGACACATACTAGTTACATTTGTTTGGGAGAATATCATTTCCGGGTTGTTTTTTATCCCTTCTCTCCCCTTACTATCCTCCCCTTCTACGAAAGGTCTGCCTCCTTGTTTCCTAATATCTCTCATTTTACTCTTTAATCAGTTTATATTTGGGGTTTCTCATAGAGAAACCTTGCAATATTTAACATTCTGTTTACACACATTATGTTCCCCTCCCTTCAACCCTTCTTCCCCTCTCCATTTACAAAAGCTTTGTTTCCTTTTTTTCCTTTCATTCTCTTTTTTAAATCCCTTTTTTCTTCCCATTTGAACAAGTTCTTCATACTTCCCAGTATCTATCCTCCATTCTGCTCCTTAGTTACCCTTTAGGTTTCTCCCATGAGAGAAACAATGCAGTATGTTTGTCTTAATTTTTTTCACTTAAAATTGTGGTCTTGAGGTGCATCCATTTACCTAACATTGTCTCCTTTATCCTTTATGATAGAGTAGTACTCCAATATATATAAATACATTTTCTTTATCCATTCATCTGTTGATGGGCATATGGACTGTTTCCAAGATTTAGCTGTCATAATCTGTGCTGCTATAAACATGGGTGTGCATGTATCACTGTGGTATGATGTTTTTAACTCTTTTGGAAAGATATCTAGAAGTGGAATAGCTGGGTCAAATGGAACCTCTAGTTTGTTTTTTGAGTAATTTCCACACTGATTTCCACAGTGGTTGCACCAGTCTACACTCCCACCAACAATGGAAAAGTGTTCCATTTTCCTCACAGCCTCACCAGCATGTATTATTTGTTGATTTCTTGATGATAACCATTCTTTCTGGAGTGAGGTGGAATCTCCATATTGTCTTAATTTGGATTTCTCCAAAGACTAGTGATGTTGAACATTTTTTCATATATTTGCTGTTTACACATATTTTTAACTGGGGTAATTTCTTGATAGTAAAGGAGAAATGAAAGTAATTATAATTAAATACGTGATATGTACTTAGATACATAAAAGGTCAAAAGTGGCAGCATACTCCGATGCACATACGAAGACTCATCATGAATGTAGTGAATCCGGCAGTTAGAAGTGTGCTTGTTGACACCCAAACACGAGAAGTTATGTGGCCATAATGTGATTTCTCCAAAATATTGAACAACTTTTAGTAAATTTCTGTTCTAAAAGGCTAATTATCCTCTACACAGTGGTTGTATTATTTTAAAATTTAGTGCGTGTTAAGATCTTCCGTAAAATACTTTAAATATAAAATATGCAGTTAGGTAGGGAACATGTTTAAAATGTGGCTTCCTGGCCCCTATGCCAAGAGATTTTGCCTTAAGGGGCCTAGGATAAGGCCCAAGAAACTCTTGCTGGTGATTCTGCATCAGGAATTCTGTTTTCTAAAGCAGCTGGGGAGGGGAGGTGGTAGAAGGAATCTAAGATGGAAAAACTAGGAACCAAAAATCCACACTGGCCACTGAGATGGTGTAATGTAATGGGGGGAAGGGTATCTAGTAGTATCTTGGTTTCAGATACAACTGCTGTTTGTGGTGGCCTGAATTGATACAAATTTTCTGGGTCTATTTTTCTTATCTGCAAAAACGTATATTGTTATCTGCAGTACGCAGGGGTAGGACGGGCGTTCCTGACCATCTGAAGCTTGTTTTATGAAGATTATCAAAACTTTTGTTTTTTTATTGTAAAATATATTTAACTATGCAAAGTCCTTATTGTGATGACGCTGTTATTCACGCTTTAGAAAAATCTGGTCAAGGTACTGGCACTTTCCCCAAAGCTCACTGTCTTAAACCATAAAAAGCAAGCCAGAAGAAAATTGGGCTCGTGAAGCCCACGCTTCCCAAACTAAAACTGCACACCTCTCTGGAAGAACTTGGTAGGATTCTGGCCCTGGTCCATCCAGTGCTATAGCGTGGATTTGGACAAGTCCTTTCACTTTCGCTGGGCTCCATTTAGATTTTAAGCTCCCTAAACTACTCATCCAGTCCTCCCTGCGTCCCCCTTTCGCTCGCCTGCCCACCCTTTCCACCTCTGAGGACTTTTTCTCTAAGGCGTTGCTATCCCTTCCGGCACTAGCGCCGTCTGCTCTTCCTCGGCTCAGATTTCGGTCACCTGCTCCCCTGAAACCTTTTGCACCTCCCCTTGTTGGGTATCCCCGGCAATCCCGCGACGTCCAGGTCTACCTCAAGGTGGAGAAGGGACGCTTCCGCTCCAGGCCACCTCGCACCCTGGTAGTTCCCAAGCTGCGCCCCGGACGCCGCGCACTGGCGGCTCACTGTCACCTCCCGGCCCGTGGGTATTCCGCCCGCTCCCTCCCTGCACCCTCAGCTGGGCGTGGCGCTCCGAGCGACCCGAGCCGCGGGTAGTGGCGCCGGCCTCCCTCCCCTCCGGCGCCTGCTGCGCCTCCTCCCCTGACTTCGCTTGGCTGCCAGAGACTGAGGCTGGCTCTTCCTCCTTGGTCTGGGATGCTCGCGTCAGGCTGGGTTCCCCGCCACCAAGTCCGGAGCCCCGAGCCACCCACGTGTCCAAGCCCGCCGCGTCGGGCGAGCGCAAATCCTCCGGGTCCGCGGCTCCTCGCCGCACCAGCTCCTCCCTTGCGAGCGAAACCCGCACCTGCCTGCAACCGCGCGTGGACCGCTAGCCGCACGTGCGGGGCGCCGGGACTCGTCGAAGGACGCGGGTGCCCGCAGAGCCAGCGAGCGCGCCGTGGGTGCGGAGCGGAGGGCGAGTGGGCGCGCGAGTGGGCCCGGGAGGCGGACACCCGGGGAAGCAGGGGCCGCGCGGTCGTGAGGCCCGCAGGACTGCAGTGCCGCCTCTCCGGAGGAAACCCACGCGCTCACACGCCCGCGCGCGCACGCACGTTCACACGAGGGGTGGGAAGAACGCAAGCGAGAGCTTCAGAGCGCTGGGCGCCCTGCAGCGATGGCATCTGCCCTCAACAGCCAAATTCACCCCCCCGGGACTGGCCCGAGCACCAAAGCCGACGCCCGCTCCGGCGCGGGCTGGAGAATGAACTGCGATGCGGAGATGCACGTGAAAATGTGCAAGAAGATCGCCCAGCTCACCAAGGTAAGGCGGGGTGCTGCCGGCCGGCGAGCTGTGCGCTGGGCTCCGGGGGCCGGGGAAGGCGGGCAGAAGTGCCTCGCCGGAGGCCCGGCCGGACCCCGACAAAGTTTGTCTCGGAGACCAGCGAGAGGGAATCAGTCCAAAATCTGGGTGACTTGACCTTCCGGGGGCACCATTCTGAAGCAACAGGGAGAGGATCCTTGCCGAGGAAATGCGCCGCCTGCTTGCTGAGCAGGTTGGCTGTGCTTTTCCCAAGGTGGGAATATGAATCTGCGTGCGTGCGTGTGTGTGTTTTCCTCTGCCAGCTCTGCTCAAGTAATCGTGCCTAGAATGTTGTGATTTCATTCGACACTGTTCTCTACAGCTGGGGAGGTCATGTGAGCTCTGTTTAAACACTTGATTCATTTATTTCTTCATTCAACAAATATTTGAGTCATTTGTTGAGTGCTAGCAGCTTGTGTGGCACCGTACTAACCCTGGAACGCAGCCCTGGCGACTTACTATCAAACTGGCTGTAGACTTGTGGAGGAATGTAAATGAGGAAAGGGGCCAAGGACTATGTAATTTTGAGATTAGAAATCGCTTCGGAGGTCAGCCAGCCCCTCTCCCCGCTTCATCCCAGGGCCCTGTGTTTCTTCCCCCGGAATCCCAGCGAGAAGATGCGGACAGTGCCCAGTGTATCCGCCTGCAGCTTCACAGGTCCCGGATGAGCCTTCTCTGTAAGTGGAGCACATCCCTCCCAACACTGTGCCTGCTAGCGGAAGGTCAGGTCCGTTCATCCACTCCTGGACAGAACATACTCTCTCTCTCTCCCTCACTTCCCACACCTCTTTCATGTGGCATCACAGGCATCCCTCTCCCTATTTTTCCAGAAGGAGTACGGCACTGGGATAGAACCCATTAACTTTTCCAAATTCTTTGCACATGAGCCATCTCCAAGCAAGGATCTCTTTAGTCAAGAACTAGAAAATAGGGAATGGAGATAACCCATCCCTGTGGCATGTATGGCTGGCACTGTGGATCTAGTCTACATTCTTCCATTTTAATAGTGACACCAATCAAGAATATTACGCACTTGGCACAGTATAAAGCATCTTCTCCGTCTCCAAAGAATTTAAAATATTTTTGGAAAGACAAAAGTTTGGATATTGAGAAATAAAAGACATTACTATATCATCAGTTGCTAAGTTGGGTATTTCAAATGATGAGTGTCACAGAGGTAGAAACAAAGACTATGTCATTATGGGCAAGAACAAGTAAGGGAGATTCTATGAAAGAAAATCATCCATGAAGTCAGTGTGAATTTGTAGAGTCCTACTATGTACCAGGCAGCATCGACTATTCATGGCATAAAATTTAGTAAGACACAGCCCTGGCTCTTATGGTATGCCAACACATAAGTGGATCATCTTAATATAATATGATAATAATTCCATTATAATAACTTATGGCATACTTATAAAATGTGTCAAACACTAAAGATGCGTCGGTATAAAAGGCAGACATGATCCCTAGTGCATGGTAGGTCTTGTTTCTTAAAGCATATTTTCCATTGCAAATCACAATTGATTCTTATTATGTATTGCCTCCCTCACATTTTCTCATGTAAATTGCCTACATTAGAATTTTGGTTTTTGGTATTAGGGATCTAACTCAGGGCTTCTCTACCACTGAGCTGTATCCCCAGTCCTTTTTATTTTCTATTTTCAGACAACATCTCACTGAGTTTCCCAAGGTGGCCTTAAACTTGGGGTCCTCCTGCCTTAACCTCCCCAGCAGTTGGGGTTATAGGGGCACACCACTATGCCTGATGGAAATATTTGGTATTGATAAGCCACATTTTTGCTACTGTGTATGACACATATTTTCCATGTCTGCACTTTTAATCTTCCCATGAGTTTTGCTTTTGTTGTGTCTCTGATAGGTCAATTTAGGTGTGCATTTGTTGTGATTACTACTGTATTTGATCTTATTCTTCCATCTTTCTTTTTCATTTACCATTCTTTATTTTTGCTCCCTTTTTCTCCATTCCTGCCCTCTATTGGATTAGTAAAATAATCTATATTCCACTACTGGTTTCCCATCTTGTCATTGCTGCCTAGAATTTTATTTTCACTTTTTAAATTTAAAAATAGGGGTTTTTTTGTTTTGTTTTGTTTTTTTGTTACCAGGGATTGACCTCAGGAACTTGCACTTGCAAGGCAGGCATGGTGCCACTGAGCTAAATCCGTGGCCCTAAAAATAGTTTTTATAATAAAAATTAAACTTACTGAGATTTTATCAATTTCTCTGTTCACTATTATTTTCTCTTTTTCTTGAATCCAAAATGTTTCCATTGGGTTCACTTTTCTTCTGGCTGAAGTCCATCCTTCACTTGTTCTTTCTCTAAGGGAGGGAATTGTTTGCGTATTTTGTTCTTGTTGTTGTATGATAGTTTCTTTGGGTTTAAAATTCTACTGGACAATTACTTTCCCAGAGCACATTGACATCAACTTTCTTAGCTTCCACGTGTAAGTGACAAGATGCTGTATTTATCTTTCTGTGCCTGATTTATTTCATAGAACATGTCTTCCAGTTCCATATCTAATTCTACAATGAAAGGATTTCATTTTTTATGGCTGAATAGTATTCAATTGTATAGACACCACATTTTCTTTGTCCATTTATCTATCGTGGACAATGAGGGTGATTCCACATCTTAGCTATTGTGAATACATATTCATCCTTCTATTTTTCCTCTCCTTAAATGTCTTCATCTCTAAAAATTGGATCCAGTTTCTTTTAAGTCCTATTAAGATTTACTTCTTCTCAGAAAAGCCTTTGAAAATTTTCACTTTCTTGTGGTTAAAAGTGTGTTAATTATTTAGTTATGCATCAATTACTTTTACTGTTCATTTGTTTCTCCAATCATTTGTATATGTGCCTCATATGTATTAGATACTTAGTAAGCTTGTTAAATTCAATTAAAGATTTCTTCCAAAAGTTTTAGTTAAGATTTTAGATGCTTATCTTTATTTATTATAGTTGATTTGCATGTAGTATGTCTCTTAAAATAAACTCCTTAGTTTTATTCATAATATTTTACAACTACCAGGCAAACAGTATGAGATGTGATTAAACAATATAGTGAATGTTCAAATTTTAAAACATGTCTTACCATAAAGGACACATTGCCATTAATCTCTTTTTAATATTCCCCCTCACTTTGAACACAATTATCCCATGATTCTTGCCACTTTCTGAAGCTTCGTTTGTGAATATCTTTTCATGGTGACTTGATTTCCTAAATCAATTTAAAATGTTTACCTTTTACGGTTATTTTGACTTTGGGGAAGAGTCAGAAGTCTCATGGTACCAGATCCAGTGAATAAGATGGATGAGGACACACTGTAATGTTTTCACGAGGCTACCTTTCTGTTGGATGGCATTTGGCAGGAGCATTCACTGTTTTTTATTATACCTCAGAAAGATACTTATGAAAAAGGACTTCTAGAGATGCTTCAGAAAGTGGCAAGAAGAATTGGATAAATGAGTTGGAAATGAAGGAGAGTATTTTGAGGGGGGATTGATATGTGTCTGTTACTGTAAGTTATTTTTTATTAAAACATTCATCATATATTTCAATCATACCTCATATACTGTAGCTCTGCAAGAAAATATCATTATCCTTAGGAAATGCACATTGAAGTATGTTTTTTAAGGAAGAAAGATGCCATAGAAAGCAATAAAAGTTTATTTTATAATAAAATGTAGAATAGAGTATAGAAATGGAATAAATGATACGTAAGTCAAAATGCTTTAAAAAGTGAGGTGGCTCTAAGTAAAAGGTATATAATGTAAAGGGTATATGATGTTCTTTGTTCTGTTATTTTTCACTCCATTTTTCCTAAGTTTAAGATTATCTCTGAACCCAAAGTTCAAAACTAGTAAACAAACATCATTCCCGCCTCTTCAGGCCCATCTTATAAGGAGAGGAGCGAATGATGGCCAGCATTGGAGGCATTTTTCAAAGCCCTTCGAAAGCTTCCAGTATGCAGACAGGATTGAGAACCACTGGATTGGAGCCATCAAAGGGTTAAGCAGTAAAGTGAACACTGAGGGGTTGTTTGCAAAGTGTGTGATTCTGAAAGCATCAGGCACGTGTGCCCAGTCCTATGGCTGCTGCACCCATCTGCCTCTGGGTTCTGCACACACCCAACGATCTCCAGCTGATTTTCCCATTTGTGTGTCTTGCCACAGCCTTATGGAGAGATGAAAACCCAGAGATCCCTCAGGTCCCCCTTTCAAGGAATAATGGAATGTTGGCTTCACATACAAATCTTAATGACTATCCTTTCATCTTTAAACAAGAAAAGGGCTGGGGATTTAGCTCAGTGGTTCCAGCGCCTGCCTCAAAAGCGCAAGGTCCTGGGTTCGATCCCCAGTACCAAATAAATAAATAAATAAACAAGAAAATGCATGAGGAGCATGTGTTCCTCTCCATGAACATCTTGACTCTCAGAAACTCAGACCACAAAGCAGTAGAAGCAAATACCAAGACACTGCCTCTTGCCTGGAGCAATTAGACGAAAAGTACCCAGGAGAAGGCGTCATTGTTCCAGAAGCCACCAATCTCAGGAGTAAGGGAAACCCAGAGAGGCCTCAGTTACTCTTGTTGTAGGTCTCTCCCAGTTTGTCTGAAGACCCTTGTTCTGGAACAACCCAGTCATAGGGTGTGAGAACTAGTCTCAAGCTGTGGTGAGACCAAAAAAAGAGGCAGATGGATCCAAGATTGCACGAGTGCAGTTTACTGCATGTCTTACCAGCAGCAGCGTGGTCCTGGATAGCAGCAACACCAGCTGGGTCCCTGCAACTTGGGTCAGAAAGAGGGGCATACTAATGAGTTAGGACAAAAGTGACTCCATTCTGTCTGGACTGTACCTCATTTTTCTTAAGATAATATGAAAGAGTCAGGTGCATTCCTGGAGCCAGGGTCCACTTGTAAAGCTCTGCATATGACTAAT